CACTCAGGCTCAATAAAATGCTATATTGGCCCTGGTGAAAGGGGGAAATAAACTATGATTTTCACATAGTTTGATGGAGCATACTGAGCTTTGGCGAATCTTCTGGCTAAGCATTTAAGAAGTAGGAAGGGGCAGGATGACAGCATCTGAGTTGGCAAAATCAGATGTATTCTGCGGAAAGGCAGAATTATTGATAGCTGCATCATTCTGGAGTAGAACCCAGATCTACTCCACATGCAGTCATGTGTGTGTTGAAAATGACTGCACTTAGTATGCTATGAGTGGGTAGAAAGGTCTATTGAGTGGTGAAAATGGAGGCTCTAGATCATGAGTCCTCCAACTACGGCCTGGGGGCCAGATTCAGCCCACCATGCCCATTTATCTGGCCCGCCATGCCCATTTGGACCTGCTGTGCATGCAACTCCCGCTGCCCACTCGTCCCGTGTGCAGGAGTCAGTGGTTTGTTCGCTCTGAGAAAACGATCTCCCAGCAAGCAAGCCGCTGCCTCATGCACCCGCCTTGCGGCGCGGGCCCACCCGCGCCTCACCTTCCCTCATCGCATGTGCCCGCCTGCCTGCATGTGCCCACCTCACCTTGCCTCACTGTGCAGCCCACCCCTGCCCCAGCACATGCCCTCACGCACTGCCCTGGTCCGTGTGCACCGCCAGCTCCACCTTTCCGGCCTGTGCCCAGCACCAGCAGCTTTCAACTGGCCCCCGGTGAAAAAGTTTGAGGGCCCCTGCTCATCGCTGAGCCTCTTGCAGTTCAACAGACAAATTCAATTTTGAAGGAAACTTCTGGGCCCTTAGTCTAGTGGTGGCAGGACCAAAGGCAAAGGTGCTTGGGCAGAAACAGGAAGTAACAGCATATACTTAGCTTAAAGCTCCTACTATCAGTAACTGGGTAACATATCAACATTGACAATTGGTGGAAAGGGCACAATAAGAATAGAATTTAAACAAATGAAAGATCAGACACTGGGGAGAAAGGTGGGGCTATAGGAGAAGGCCATAGATCCCTGGCCTCAAATCTTTATATACATATAGTATAAATTACACCCATAACTAACCCACTGTGTCTAGCAAGGAGTTGTTTTGTAATTCTCAGGGGAAAGTGGTTCTGAATGTGTGTGAAGACATGTAATTGACCCCCAAGAGGCACCCCTTCGAAACACACAAACACACTCCCACTCCCAATGTTAGAAGCAGTCTTTATTTCCTAGAAAAGTCATGCAATTATATTCTCTTTCTCTAATTATTCCATACACCTTTACAGTGCCCC